CGTCGTCGTCGTCGTCGTCGTCGTCGTCGTCGTCGTGTGTGTGTGTGTGTGTGTGTGTGTGTGTGTGTGTGTGTGTGTGTGTGTGGTTCGACGAGGCTGTTTCCGAACGGGGGATAATCTCTCGCCTCTTTTCTTCTTCATCTTCTTCTTCGCCCGTGGCGAATATTTGGATTGTTCGTATTATTTCGGCCGAGATGCGAGTCCCGTCCACGCTCCATCCGGAACTTAATTAATTACTTGAGAGGGAATTACGATTCGTATCTTCGTTTAATCGCTCTTATCGGCGCAAATACTCGAGAGACGATAGATATTTTAAAATAGTTTTCGTTCCGTATTCTTTTCCTCGAGGAAACGAGTAATTCGAAGGAATAATAATAAAGGCTCGACGAGGAAGAACTCGTAGAATTTTTGGAAAGGGATCGAAGAGGATTGTTTTTAATTCGTTTTGATCGTACGATTGAAATTTAACCGTTTAACGAGTCGATTATCCGTAATTTCGATTTTTGCGGATTATCGTACCGGTGACAATTGTACAGTGACGGCCTGTCATTTCCGACCTGCGCGATTTACCGGAAGTTCGCGCGTCGATTACATCCGTGAACGTGGTGCATCGATAAACGAAGAAAACAGAACGATTTCCGTTCTTCCATTCTCTCTCTCTCTCTGTACGAGATAATTTAAATCATTGTTTTCGATAATCGAAGTAGAAAATCGTTATTATATTTTATGAACAACGTTGTTCACGCTTTTAAAATAAGTTAAAGTTAAGATGGAATGAATATTTATTCTATTTTTATTTACAATTTTCTCGACTTTTCTCCCTTTTATTCTTGCTTATTTTACGAATAAGATGGAAGGAAGGAAGGAAGGCTGGGCTCGCCTTCGTGTTCGCACAACCGTCGCTTATCGATAGTTCGTTCGTGTCCAATTAAAAATTAATCGATCTTGCTTGTTATACGCGTTTGACAAATTTTCAGCCTCGAAATATTTATTTATATATTTTATATATCCCGATATTTATTTAATTTACAATTACGCAGCTCGGCTGGATCGTTGGCCGTGTCCGATTATCGGAATTGATATCGACGAGTCGGCCGATAACCGTGAAATAAGGCGAGGGGACTCGCGTGGCGGTAATCGCGAGGCGTGAAATCGGGCTGGCCACGACGCGGCGTGTACCGGTAGATGACACACTTTAACCCTTTCACCCCACCGACTCTACTCCGTCTTGCACGATCGAGTATCTTTCTCTCCAATTTTTTTCTTTTTTTTTTTTCTAATAAACATCGTCGAACCAAACGATCCCTCTGGAGCATATTTTTGGCGTGGCGAAAGGGTTAAGTTAAGTTTGGAGCAGCGTCAGATCGCCTCCTTCTATTCGCCCAAACTTTCCATTTCTCGATGAATCGTTGGTTTCGCATGTCGATTCGATCACAATCTCGTCGATCCTTCGAAACGGAAAGTAGTGATATTCTTTATATTTTATTTTATCGTTCTTTTCTAGATTTAGTTCCTTTTCTTTCGTTCGTTCGATTTGAACAATTTTGGCAAAGGAGGATCAATTCGTTCGTCGAGTGATTATTAAGAAGGGAATAGAAGAAATTGGAATATCGAAGAGGAAGGAGTTTGATGGAAAGATGGACGGCTGTTCTTTCCCCGAATTCCTTAGGCTTGGAACGCGTAAAACGCGCGCGACAAGCAGAGCGCACAATCTCCTCGAAAGCTAATAATACGAGCTGCAAAAGTTCGTTTCTCGAAAGATGCGCCCACGCGGCGACGCCGTTTCTTAGTTCGAGTCTCGAGGATGATTTTAGTGTTTCATCGTCTCTCGGCTTAATCGCGCGCGCGCACACACACACACGTTCGTCTTCTATCGTTTCTATCGTATTCTCTCTTCTCTCCTTTTCCTTTTTCAATCTCTTCGATCGTTCACCTTTCCCCTCCCTCCCCTTTCGTTTGTGAAGAAAAACGAATCTTTCGATTACTTTTTTGGATAGATTTCGTGGAAAGTTGGAGGGGAAAAGAAAAAAAAAAATCTGACGATTTCGTTTAATTCGCGATTGTCGAAAGCGCATTGTCGTCGTCGTCGTTCGTGAAAGTTGTTCCAACAGAAGTTACCAATCACGGAGAGGCGAGGAAAAGATATCCCTGCGAGAGAGAAGGCAGGGATACCAACTGTTCGCGTGAACGGGTGGGTAGGACTTTTTTTTTTTTTTTTTTCCGGCAAAATTTGCCTCCATGCAAATGTTTTTCTTTGCTTTCTTCCTTCCCTTCTTCTTTTTCGTTCTCTTATCGAGACGAGGTTAGGTTAAGGGAAGAAGAAAATCTTTTCTTCCTTTTAGATAAAAATTTTTACGATTTTTTTAAGTTTCTTTTTCTTTCTTTTTTTTTTCTTAACTTTTGGTGTTACAATATTTATAGTTTTGGTAAGGGAGAGAGAGGGATTTTCGGTCAAGGATTCTCGTTTATTTCTGACAAGAACGAAGATTTTTTGTCAGAAAAGTTTGCGAATCTTGTAAATTCTATTCTTTTTCGGGACAAAAATTGCGCAAATTTTTATTTCCGTTACAGTATTCTCGATGTTTACTCGCATATATTAGCCAGTTCATTTGAATACACTTTCGATTTCATCGAATTAGCATAGCCAAGGAAACGTATCCAAAGCGAGTAATTTTAACGAAGTCGTTGATAGTCGCGCATTATGGATCCATTCTTGTTTATCAGCGCGTTAAAAAAAATTATCTATTTCGTGTTATTCCCGATTTGAGAAAACGACGATGATGTCGACCTTCGCTTCGCGATACATCTTCCACACATATTTTATATGGTAAATAAAAAAATGGAATCGTATCATCTACCTTGATGAATCGAACCGTTATTTATTATCACGAATAGCGCGCGCCAAAGATAATTACGTCGAATGGGAGCCTGTGTAAAAAACTAACTTATCAGCGTACGATACGGTAGAGTACTTCTCGGTAAACGAACCGCAAACTTATTACGTTATTTCCAAACAGGAAACTTGGGCCGCGCGTATAACGCGTATATAACGCGGCAAATTAATAAATCAATTAGAACCAGTAGTAGTTTCGAAGTGATTGCAATAATGGCTTGTTATTTGCACGTACGCGTATACGTATATTTACTTGTAAAAAAAGAAAAAAAGAAAAAAGTAGATAAACTCAAAAGCCACCGTATAACGAGAATCGTAATTTTTTTCTTCTTCTTCTCCTTCTTCTTGAACATCGATTAACTCGGTTCGAAAGGTCGATACGTAACGTAAAAATAATCGATTCAAAAATTAGCTACGCGTTTCCGGGCGATAAATCATGCTCGAACGAAAGGCTAGGTTTCGAAAGAATTATCCTCGTACTTGAACCAAAAAAGAGAGTTGGAGAAGCTCGTTTGTTCGACGATCGTTGAAAAATCTATATATATATATATATAAATAATGAGTTTCGAGGAACTCGATTCAACTCGGTTTCAGTCTCGAAACCGTCGCGAAGATTAATAATCCGCGGTGCATGGAGAAGTGGTGGTGGTGGTGGGGGGGAGGCGCGAAAATGACCACAGAGAAATCAAGTCGTTCCAGTTTTGCTAATAAGGCCGGCGCGGCGTCGTTAATTGCCCTCCGTCACGCCGCTCGCTCCCTTATCGTGTGAAAGTAATCGTCACAGCTCTCGATAACGAAGGATCGTGAAAGAGCGCCGCGTCGAAGATAGATTTTCAAGTTTCTCTTCTCTCCGGTTACACGCGTGTAATCGTTACTACCCTCGTGAAAGAGAAACTTGCCATTGTCCGTCGCGAGTACGGAAGTTTACGCGATCCGATGAGAATCCGCTTTTTCCACTCGCCTATTTTTCGCCAAACTTTTTCCTTCTCGCGTTTATTACCTCGATTCTCTCTTTCCAGTTCTCGCCTTCGAATCGATTCGCCTTCGCGTCGCTTATCTTATCTTAATTCGATCCCAACTTGTTCCCTTAAGTTTTTTTCCCTTCCCGTTTGTGTAAGTTCTTATATATATATATACATATATACATATATATATATATATATATATATATATAATACAATCGTCGTTGGAGACGGTTGAAGATAGGCGAGTCGTCCTTGAAACGTGCTAATAGACTCGCTCTTTCTTTCTGTTGCAGCCTGAGCGAATGTTACTTTGCAGGCAAGGGGGCGGCCTTGGTTTTACCTCCGAACGAAAGGGCCAGACCCTCGAGAAGGGTATCCGCGGCAGGATGCGATATTCAACAACACTTGCAATCCATGTTCTATCTCCTCAGACCGGAGGAGACCCTCAAAATGGTGAGTTTTTTTTTTCCCCCCTCTCCAACGAGAGAGATCCTCCCGTAAATTTTTCCTTTTTCCCCTTTTTCCCCCCCCCAAAAAAGCGTCTTTACTGTTTCTCCTGTACACTCGTAAACACGATATAATAGTAAATAAACGATAAGCGCGAGATAAATGATACGAATAAAAATATTCGCGATCGATCGAACGAGCGCAGCCGTGGTGACATTTTACGCGTGCAAAAGTTCAAGGAGAGAATCTATTTTATCCGAAAGGTGCGTCGCAATCGATATCTCGAATCCGCGAATCGCTCGCCAATCCTCGGATCGTTGGCGTTGTTCCGCCGCCCCTAATTTCTACAAGAAACACACTTTCCGCCTATAAATTCACCGAAAAAACACCTCTCCAACACCTTCATTCCCCTTCCTCCTTTCGAAATTTCCAATCTCGACACGAGAGAGAGAGAGAGAGAGAGAGAGAGAGAGAGAGAGAGAGGAGGAGGGAGGGAGGAGGAGGGAGGAGGAGGACGGTACGGTTCGGTTC